AGACCATAAAATCAAAGTTGACAACAGACCTGACAGGCGGCGTCGTTATGAACATGTAAGTCCACCACCGTTACCACTAGGAACTAGTCGTAGTCCTAGTCCATCACATTTAAAAGTTAGATATGGAGTACCATTGCGACGCCGTCCTCTACTTATGCTTCAACCGTTAAATATATACGCTGCACCGCAATATTCCGTACAAAACATTCCGGCAATTAATGGTCATATTAATTATGGTTCTTCGCAATTGAATGTTGATGCAAGACGAAGTAGAAGGGAAGTTGGAGGAATATTTGCGTTGCAGAATTTTCAGCCTAATGAATTTCATAGACGCCATAATTCTAATCACCACGTTGCTCCTTGTAATCGTTCGCGTTTACCATCTGCACGCGCTGACCAAACACCAGGTGTTAATAATCAATCTAATCCTAATACACACTGTGGACCCAATATAGCGCTACCACATCTGGTATCCAATGACAATGCTCATACTTCACCACCTTTGAATGCTGAACTAGTATCAACAGTGCCACCCAGCCAAGCTGATCATCGTATGTACAATTATTTTGACGAACCGTGTAATTCAAATGTCCGCCAAAGTCGGCCTGGCCACCGTATGTACAATAATTTTAAAAAACTTATTTAACATAATTATTAAACAAATTCATTATCCATTACTTTTAGGTCCTACAGAATGTTTACCATCAGAAAACTTTAGACAAAACAATCGCAATAGATTTGTTCTGTGCAGTAATTCTGCATTACCTTCAGATAACACCCGAAGCCGTAGCCCATCCACAGATTCAATTTCAGATCTTAGTTCATAATTGATAGGCTAATATCAAAATAAAATAAGTCTGATTTCACGACCTTGATTTTCCTGCACAATACCACCATATAGCAGAAATGAAACAGGTTACACAATTTGAACCAAATGTTCAAGAATTCTTTATATCAATTATTATCATACAAACCAAAAGGACCCAACATTATGCAGACATAAACAAATGATTTATCAATTTAAATATTGGTTTTAATTCCGACAATCTTGCAGTTTTTATTAGAATTACAGTTAAGCCTATTTAATCAATTATGAATGATTCAATAAATGTTACTTTAAACGATTTAACTTTAAACAATTTTTAACTTGAATATATTATTGGTTTCGATAGCAATATACATAAAATCAATATTAATAAATATATGTGTAACAGAACACATTCTCTTAAAAATGTTGATTAGATATATTGTAAGACATATTCATTTTAACTGAAAGAAGTGGTAATAACTCTCACTTCAAAAGAGACAAATGTTATTGAAGACAATTCTTAAGGATAGTGTTGGCTGGAATCCTTATGATTAAATATATTCAACCAAATATATTTAACCAATTACATTCGTGTCTAGACCTTTATCTAAAGCTGCGCAAAATTACAGCACACTAGAAAAAGAAGCATTGGCCATAGTATTTTGTGTAAGTAAACTCAAACAATATTGGATTGGCAATAATTGTTTTTTAAAAACAGACCACAAACCTTTAATATCAATTTTTGGTGAGATTAAAGGTTTACCAATCATGGCAGCTGCACGCTTGCAACGATGGGCATTCATACTATCTGACTTTAATTATAAAATTAAATGTGTCAAGGGACACACTAATGACCAAATGGGAGGCAGAAGCAAACTCCGTTATCAAAAATGGATAGCGTAGAATCTCAAGGCGGAGGACGAATCAACAGTATGGTCAACGGCGCCAAGTTTCTAATGGTGTTTCTATTTCAGCGTTTGTTTATCATGTAAGGTGCGGCTGAAAGCGGTCGTCGGACTTGTAGCAAGCGGATCGCTATATAAACGTGTGCCACGGCGGAGTGTCGCTGGGCCATGGACCCATCATCCACCGCTTATGTGAATCCGTACATCAAATCAACGAAACATCTACAGCATGGATTCAAAAGAAAACGGAACAACTTCTCCAAGTGGTAATCGACATTCGAGTAATCCTCGCTGCACTCGCTGCAGCAAGCACACCGGATTTGGAGGTGCCAAACCCATGCTTTAATAACACCGATAGTTTCGAGATGAACAAAACCAACAACAAAACAAATTTGAATCGTATTGATAGAAGATGCTTAAAAGGCATGAAAATAATAACATCTGTCGCAACATGGAATGTACATACTTTAAAAGAGGCTGGTAAACTCGAACAACTTAGAAACGAGATGGCTCGCTATAAAATCGACATTATAGCGATACAAGAATGCAGGTGGAATGGTAATGGCTCGATCAAACACAAAGGTAATTTGTTTATTTGTTTAGGTGAACCAGAAAGATCTGCTCATGTTAATGGAGTAGGATTTCTTATATCATCAAAGATTTCTCATGAGATATTAGAATGGCATTCAGTCTGCTCAAGGTTAATAGTCCTCAAATTCAAAACGCGTGCACGTAACATAACTATTGTCAACTGCTATGCTCTCACAGAACTTCAAGTCGATGGATGCAAAAACGATTTCTATGATCAACTTGAAAGGTGTATAAATATGTATTCTTCAAACGGAGATATTCTCTTAGTGCTATGAGATTTTAACGCACAGATTGGCTGCGAAAACACCCATTTAGAAAAATACATGGGGTGTCACGGTCTGGGTGCCCGAAACGACAATGGAAACAGACTTATCGAGACATGCTGCGAGGCTAATTTGGTAATTGGCGGCTCCCTTTTCCTACACAAAACATCGCACAAAGTAACTTGGGTTTCTCCAGGCGGGAGAACAAAGAATCAAATAGACCACTTCCTATTTAATGCTCGATGGAGGTCATCGCTATTAGACATCCGTGTGAAGAGGAGTGCTGAGATAGGCAGTGATCACTATATGGAGGTTGGCAAAGTGCGTATAAAAATTTCAACACGAAAGAGAGCTGTACAAGTGGCAAATAAAAGAATAGATGTTGAGAGGTTGAAAAACAACGATACAACAATAACCCCTTAGGATTACAGGAAGATATAGAAATCAATTTTCCATCAAGCAACTTGCGTTACCTTCAAAATGTCATTTTAGACCAACCAACAAGATCTGAAGTTATCGCCGCCATAAAACTATTTAAACCCAACAAAGATCCAGGCAGTGACAACGTCAATCCCGAACTATTGAAGTGCGATCCAGAATTATCAGCATCTATATGGCTTTCTATTCTGCAGAAAAGCTGGGAAACCGAAGCGGTATCACTTTCTTGGAATGAAGGCGTGCTCGTTAAGATTCCGAAAAAGGGTGATGGATCCGATTCTAACAACTATCGAGGTATCACGCTACTACCCGTGCCCAGCAAAATACTCACTTCGATTTTACTATCACGAGTTTCGACGGGAACACAAAAACTCATTGAGAATCAATATGGTTTTAGACGAAATCGATCTTCTGTCGACCTAATCAATACTGTCCGAATCGAGTTTGAGCAATGTAATGAATTTAGGTCTTCCGTGTATGCAGCATTCATAGACTTTAAAAAAGTCGTTGATAGTTTGAACAGACGTTTTATATGGGCTGTTTTACGTCAAAAGGACATGCCACTAAAAATACTTAACATCATCAGTCCATGTACATTGAATTTAAATGCAGAGTTTTGCACGACGGAGTGCTATCTGACGCATTTGACGTGAGTACAGGAGTTCGGCAAAGCTGCCTCCTTTCACCAGTGCTTTTCGTTCTAGCTCTGGATGAAATTTTAAGAAACTCGCTTGATGGACGCCATGGTATACAATAGACACCTTTTCACCATCTAGAAGATCTCTAGAAGATCTCGAATATACGGACGATGTGTGTCTACTGAGTCACAAAAGCAGTGATCTCCAACGTAATGTAGACAGCCTAAATCGTAACGCCCGGGCAGCAGGTTTGATAGCTGCAGATCCTTTGATAGCTGTTGAGAACATAAATATAAATGTTGTACAATCCTTCATATACTTGGGCAGCGTAACGTATGCGGAGCAGAAGAAGACGTTGCGGCTCGTATAAATAAAGCTAAGTCTGCATTTGGACAACTACAAAACATTTGAAGGTCAAATCAACTAAGCGTCAGAACAAAACTTCGAATATTCAAATCAAATGTCGTACCCGTACTTCTGTATAAGTGCGAAACATGGAAGTTTACTAGATCGATCAACTCCTGAACCCAAGTCTTCATAAACAAATGTCTAAGACGCATACTCCAAATATGGTGGCCAGAACGCATCTCCAATGCAGAATTGTGGAAAAGAGCAAATATGCAAAGCGTCGAGAGCGAAATCAAAAAACGAAAATGGCAATGGATCGGACATACACTACGCAAGTCGAATTCCTGTATCGATAAGCAAGCCCTAAAATGAAACCCGCAGGGTAGTCGCCGGCCTGGCGCTCCTTCAAGAACATGGCGAAGGACAATTGATGCTGAATTAACATCAGTGCGCTACTCATGGAACGACATCTGCACGGCTGCTCCAAATAGAATACGGTTCAGAGGAATTGTTGAGGCCCTATGCTCCACTGAGAGCTAACGGAACAAAAAAGAAAAAGATATTTACAAGTCAATTTGTATTTCAAATGGTCTTTGGAATCCACACTTAATATAATTGTAGAGAAGTCGTTTTCTGGGTTTGACAGAAACGTCAACCGTGTGCCAAGCTTTTCCTGTTTTATTTATTGTATGCCCACTACTAAAGTAGTAAAGTAGTAGTGGGCATCACTGGTCCCGTGTTTTAGTGCCTTAATTTTTTACTGGGTCCTTCTTTCATTTTTTTACATGATGTTCAATAACACTACACTTTCTTCTCTTTAGAAAAATAATATATGTTTATTAAAAAATATTTAGATTGCAATCATTTTATCAAATAAATATAAATATGAATATTATACGTCATATTTTTATATAATTTATTGTGTAAAGCATTAGTTTATATTATCAAACAATAACTCTAATATATTAAAAAATATACATAATAAATTACTGCTTGAAAAAAATTTTTGTAATTAATTCCCAACAATTTATATCGCCATCACTGTAAGGAGAAGCAAAGCTTTCGCTTAATAAAATCTGCGAGTGAGCAAGAACCTCAAATACTTACGGTTTTAGTTGATAGCCAGCAGAGTAACCGAGTGCTTGACTTTGTTGTGGAAATTAAAAGAAACCAGAAATGGCAGAGTAAGAATTTTTTATATTATAAAGCCTTATAATATTTTTAATGTAATATTAGTATTTTCTGATATTAATATTAAATAATGTATTAATATTTATTTATTTGGTCCTTCATAGAGATTTATGTGCTATTCAACTAACGTTGCCACAAGGTGAAATTCGTGGTGCAAAATGCAAAACTATTTACGATCATGATTATGTCAGCTTCGAAGGCATACCATATGCTAAACCACCGTTGGGTAATTTGCGCTTTAAATCTCCTCAACCAGCTGAACCATGGTCTGGTGTGAAGGACTGTAGTAAATGTGCTAGCAAGCCCATGCAAAAAAATGTACTGACTGGTGAATTGGAAGGTTCAGAAGATTGCTTATACTTAAATGTTTATGTTAGCAGGGTAGGTAAAA